AGGCCCGCCAGGCCCCCTGCCTGAGGTGGTGGGTGCTGGGTGTCTCAGGGGTGTCAGTGTGGTCCTGTCCCACTGCTCTGAGCTTTGTAACCCTGTGTTGTGGCAATACATGTCTGGTCCCCAACCTCAAGCTCTCCTGGGTTTGGATTTCATGGGGGCATGTCACTGTGGGGCTGTGTGGCCCCAGCTGCTGCAGACCAGGCCATGAGACAGCATCGGTGCTGTCCTGCTTCATGTGCAGTGCCCGCCTTTGCTTCACAGACGTGCGGGTGTACAACCCACCTTTCTCCACCCCAGTACCCAGAACCCCGTATGGGGTCCTCACAGCAGCATGCACAGAGCTGACCGGATCCCAGCATGAAGGAAAGGGGACAGGACGTCCCCGTTCCATCCCCTGGGGCCTTAGCCCATGGGCTGTGTGCATTCCTCAACCTCCGACATAGTGCTCTAGGAGCTGGTGCTGTGGGAAGAGCAATTTTCATTGCAAATTTTAGGTGTCTCAGGGTGAAGGGTCTCTGCCCCCCTGACATTGAGCCCTTCCTTCCCTTCACAGACCAGGGGAGAAGATCACAGTGGTCGATGACTCCAATGAGGAGTGGTGGCGGGTAAGGCTGGTGTCCTGCAAGCACAGAGGGGAAAGATGGCGAGCTGAAAGCAAAGGGAGAGGTCAGCTAGGAGTGCAGATTGCACTCTCTTGGGGACACAGGTCCCTAAATCTGCTGTGTCCTCATGTCAACCCAAAATTTGCAGGCTGTTTGTGATAGGACAATCTGGGTGTTATACAGATTGGCTCCAACTCTCACCTGGCACCCATCCACTGGCTTCTTTCAGGGGAAGATTGGTGAAAAAATTGGCTACTTCCCTCCAAACTTCATCATCCGGGTGCGGGCAGGCGAGCGCGTGCACAAGGTGACACGCTCCTTTGTGGGCAACCGGGAGATTGGGCAGATCACACTCAAGAAGGATCAGGTGAGACAGGACCAGCCGGTGGTCCTCCAACCCCCTGTCTGCAGCTCTGTCCCAGCCCTCTTCCCGAGCCACTCCTCATGGCTGCCCTGGCATCCTGCTGCACCCCACAGCTGCTCTCTGCCCTGGCCCACATTACTAGCCTCATATGGCCCACCTCCCCCAGCCCCTTGGATGAGACCTGCTCTGCCCAGCCCCCTTACCCTGCCTGGGGTTTCCTGCCTTCCCCTGCTCTGTAGGGCCCCAATAATCTCACCTGTACCCTTCTCACCCCCAGATCGTGGTGCAGAAAGGTGAGGAGGTGAATGGTTACGTGAAAGTCTACACTGGCCGAAAAGTGGGGCTCTTCCCTGTGGACTTCCTGCAGGAGATCTGAGTGAGGCAGTGAGTCAGGGTCCCCCAGCTGGGAACTGCCAGGGATGGGAATGGGGACAGGGATGGGGATGGGGATGGCAGGCACCCCCATCTCCCATGCCTGCAGCAACGAGGTTTCCAAGGGGGGACCATCTCTGTCAGGACCAGAACAGGCTGGGGGGTATGGGAGTTGCCTCTCAGGCTGTTTCCCCTGTGGGGTTTTTAGTGCCTTCAGACACACTGGGTGCAAGGAGGGGGCACTTGCTTTGGAGGCCACCCAGGCCCCCTGCCTGAGGTGGTGGGTGCTGGGTGTCTCAGGGGTGTCAGTGTGGTCCTGTCCCACTGCTCTGAGCTTTGTAACCCTGTGTTGTGGCAATACATGTCTGGTCCCCAACCTCAAGCTCTCCTGGGTTTGGATTTCATGGGGGCATGTCACTGTGGGGCTGTGTGGCCCCAGCTGCTGCAGACCAGGCCATGAGACAGCATCGGTGCTGTCCTGCTTCATGTGCAGTGCCCGCCTTTGCTTCACAGACGTGCGGGTGTACAACCCACCTTTCTCCACCCCAGTACCCAGAACCCCGTATGGGGTCCTCACAGCAGCATGCACAGAGCTGACCGGATCCCAGCATGAAGGAAAGGGGACAGGACGTCCCCGTTCCATCCCCTGGGGTCCCAGGTCCCCCCCGCCCTCAGCCCGCGCTGCCGAGCGCTGGCGCAGGGCCGGCTGGGGGCCGAATACGGCAGCGGGTGACAGGTGACGGAGCACGGGGACAGGACAAGTCCTTGGAACGCAGGAGGCCATAACCGAGCCAGGAACAGGTGCCCGGGCGACGC